CCGACACTGGTACCCATATCAACACCAAAATTTCCTTGAGTGACCACCGTTCTGAAAATAAACCATACAAACCAACTGAATATACTTGAAGAATTCCACACCCTACAAGCTCCCCGGTATCATCGTGACTTTCCTTGACTTGAGTACGGATCCTCTGCTTCTAGTAGTACGAGCCCATACTCCCTTCCACATCTATCTATACTTTCCTCAAGAATCACCCCGAATCCTCTAAGTTACTTTTCTAACAATCTAAATATCCACTTACATAGCGAAACGCTCACTACTCTAAAGCATCTCCTTGGATCTCCTAGGACACTATCACACCACTCTCCGCTATCAACTGCAAAAGGAACCCCCTTTAATACCATCTAACTACCTCACGAATGCAATTACATAGTACCGAAACTAGATAATTCTTCGACTGAAAGGTCTCACACTACAACGGTTGGATTGAGACAAGATATATGCAATAGAGTAACACCTATCGTCTAAAATTATGTAATCTAAGCATTATGCAACTTAGCACATTCATGCTCTAATTCAATGAAAAATTTGAATAAAATACGAAACATTCACCAAATTGTATGAAAATTTAGGTGACATCCTTATTTCATACATAAATCCGTTCTATAAATTGTCAGAATTTTATCTCATCCATAAGTATTTATTTTGAATTTTTAGCCATTAAATCCTTATTTTTGTAGAAAAATAAAAAATTTGTTCTAGCACTTGGGGTTTTATAGAACATCCCTTCCCTTGAAACCATGAGCTTACATAAAGCAATTTGGCTAAAAATTATTTCGGAGCTAAATGGGGGTATTCAACCCCAAGAAGTTTAGAAATATAGCACCAACTAGTGCATGAATTCCAAATGTAGTTGGAAGTTCAACAATTTTTGTAGAAACTTATATAACGTGTTTGTTCATGAAATTTTAGGTCTATTGAGATAAATGTGTCAAATTCCTAAAATAATTTTCTTCAGATTTATTGTGAGGCTTAAGGCCTTTTATTATGTAATGAAATACTAGTGACCACATAAAAGGTTTTGTCTGCGCAACTGTTTTGTAAAAATCGACAAAAGTCGAACTCTTAATGTTTTACAGTGAGACAAGTGGGTTCGAAAGTTAACTCATAGAATTACGTCTCAGAAAAAGAATATCGTGATTTGTTCAAGAAATGAGTGAGATATGGCTGTTCAAAGCCGAACAATTGTTTCTGACATAATGCATGTTATTTTTGGTTGATTAAAGTGCCCATTTGGGTCATATGTTCACAAGTACAACATGCATAACCTTTATGGTTGAAAGTGAATGATATTATACTAGAGTTTACAGAAGAACAAGAAAATTTTAGATGCATGTATCCAAACCATACATTTAGGGTTATCCAAGGCCCCAAAGTGTGTGTTTCATTCTTGTGATAGAGATCTCCTTGGAACCACCAAATCTTACACTTGGATTGCACGAAAAATCCGATTTATATCACATGCATGGAGTGAATGAGCCACCTTCTTGCCCTTTTTATTTTCATCAACCCACCGACTCTCATTACACATTGGACACCTTTGCAACAACTTGTGTTCTTTCCAGAAAAGGAAACAGTCGTTTTTACGTACATGTTTCTTTAAGTGTCTTTTTTGCTTCATAATGTGACCGGGGGGGGGGGGGACCCTGTTTCCTTGAGGGAATGCAGTTTGCAACAACTCAAGAAGCTGATCGAATGAACTATCAGTCCATTTGTTGATCACCTTGATATGCATTAGCTTTGCTAAAAAGTCAAGGGACGAAAACGAACATCCAGGATATAATTTTAATTAGACTTCATCTAACAGCTTTTGAAATCCATCATCGACACCGCTACCGCCGGTATCTAGGTTCCCTTCATCGTGGTTGGTATCATTTCCAATCACACCCCCATAACATCAGCAATAACACCGTCCATCTCGTTCTACGTGGTATGTCTTCAACAACCGGATGAACTATATTTTTGCCGTGATACTTCCATATAACATAATGTGGACTAAAACCATGTTGAAGTATATGTAATTTCATTATGGCTAGTAGTATAAATTTATTGACATTGCATTTGTTACATGAGCATCTGATTTGACCTTTGTTATCGACGTGTGACTTGGACCTCTCGATAAAAGATTTGAGACCTTGTTGGAACAGGATAATGTTACGGTTTTTGAATACTAGTCCATGTTTTATCAATAGACATGTTGCAACTGAAATATATGTTAGGTTTTAGTGTTACTCTACAAGAACTAGAATTAGGATTGAAAATATAGATATTGAAGTGATAAAATTAATGGATATAATCCTAAATAACCTATTTTTTATATGTAATAAGATTCATTTATCAAGTTTTTTTGTTTTCATAATAAGATTCATTTAATCTAATTTTTACTTAAAGTGATTAATATTTCAATAACTAATTTATAAATAATTTAATTAGTTTATTATGATTGTATTATTGAATGATAACTATCATATTTTTTTGGAAATAGTATTGTTAGAGTAAAAGATATGAAAGTTGATTATATAAAAAGAATAGGAAAGTTGATTATATCAAAAGAATATGAAAGTTGATTATCTCAAAATCTTTTTTGGAAATAGTTGGGTTTATTATCGTTAAAAAAATATAAATATAGTCACTACTGTTTTAAATCATAAAATGCTTTTATTTGTATTTTATAAACTGAACTATGACTTTTTTTAATATATAAAATATATTTCATAAATGATATTAGCTTATAGAAAAAATTATGTATTAGGGATAACGAAATTAAAAGATTTAGCAAAAGCTGAATTGGCTGTAGCAATTACAAGTTTGTTTATTCTTCTTCTTGTTCTTCTTCTTTTTCTTTTAAAAACATTCTTGACCAATGTTTCTTTATTAGCTTATAGAAAAAAATTATGTATTATGATGTATTTTTTTAATATAGAATAAAATATATTTCTAATAATCATATAAACATTCTTAAATTTTACATATAAATTAATGATAAACATACAAAAGTTTCACATATATACATCAATTTCACATATAAATTCATCAATTCATAAATGATCAACAAGTGAAACATATCAATTTACATATAAATTCATCAATTCATAAATTCATACATGATCAACAAGTGAAACATATCAATTTACATATAAATTCATCAATTCTTACATGATCAACAAATGAAACATATCAAACTAATCAAACTAACATATTCCTGCATACAATAGTTTCCATCAATTTCACAGTCAATAGTTTCAATCAAATTTACATATACATTCAAACAAGTGAAACAAATCAAAATAATCAAACTAATATGCAATAGTTTCCATCAATTTCACAGTCAATAGTTTCCATCATATTTACATATATATTCCAAATTCATACAATGATTAAGATATCCACATGCATACAATCCATATTCAAAAGTGAAACAGATCAAACTAACCTGTTCTTGGCTGGAAAAATGAAGTTAGACTCGGTGGTGAAGCTGCACTCGGTGGTGAAGCTGGGAACTTAAAACAGAAAAAAAAAAAAAAAAAAAAAAACAGTTGAAATCGGAATGGAGGTTATACCGGTGGTGGGAGTCGGCTTTGGGGGTGAATCAGCGGTGGAGAGCAGTGGTGTCACTGGAGATATCGCAAATCGTCGACGAAGACATCGTTTAGCTGAGACAGGTTATCAATTGGAGTTACATAATGGAGTCTGGGAAGACGCAGACGAACAAAAAGGGCAACACTAATAACGGCGACAAAGGGGCTATTAGCGGCGGCATACTGGAGGGAACTGAACGTGCCCTTTTTGGGGATCACAAACCGTTGGATTGCGTAAGAATCGTTGGGCCAAGATTTGATCCAAGGTTGGTCAACGGATCGACACCTATAGCGGCACCGTGTCGCCGCTAAAAGCGTCTTCTTTATTGCCTTCCACTTGAACAAACTCTATCCGTTGGATTATGTGTCGAACCAAGGGTTAGGATTAAAAGGGGCGTGTCTCCGACGGATCTCCTACGCATATCTTAGCGACGCCTCTATTAGCGACGACGATGTTGTTTTAGCAGCGACACCAAGCGCGTCTACTCTGGTGTCGCCGCTAATGGTCATGTCGTTGCAAAAAGCGATGTCCCAAATACTCCCAATTCTTGTTGTGATATGTTTATCTTTTATTTCTTTTGAATATATCATTTATTTATCTTTGGGAAAATAACTTAAAAGCCCAAGGAAGTTTCCAAACTATTCAAAAAACCCCAATCATGTTTTGTCTGTTCAAAAAAACTTAACGAACTTAAAATTTTGTCTAAAAAGTCCAACAAAGTTCCAAATCTTTCAAAAAATCCCAATTTTGTTTTGTTTAAGTTCGTCGTTGGGTTTTTTTTTAACAGTCCAAACATGATTGGAGTTTTTTAAACGTTTTGGAAACTTCATTGGTCTAACAAGTCATTTTTCCGATACGTTAATAAACCATGTCATCTGTTTCTCTTATTTGACTTTCAGGAAAGTGTAACTTAGTTGAGTTTTTTAGACAAAATGTTAAGTTTGTTGGGTTTTTTACTTTTTTTTGAACAGACAAAACATGATTTGAGTTTGTTGAACGGTTTGGAAACTTTGTTGGGCCGGTAATTCATTTTCCCTATATCTTTTAACATATTTAGATCACATCTTTTGATTTAAATGCTATGGGGGAACGTATAATAATACGGAGAGATCTCTAAATGTATTAGAGGTGGTGGGAAAAATATCATGAATAACAAATGTCAAGATAGGTAACAGATCAAGCACAAAACTGGAATTACCCTCAAAAGAAACAAAGCAAGACACGAACAATATAATATGAAGAACTACAGCTGCAGATACTTTGAACTACCAACATTAACGAGAAGTATCCAAAATTTTTAACAATTACCACATTCATTCCATACGACAAAAAAGAAAACAATAAGACATTATCAACAAATTGTTCCAGAAAAAAAAAAAAAACTACTCGAGTATAATCTAGATAAGTACGAACTCCTCCTGCGCCCCTTGTTCTTTAAGATTAAGTTGAAAGTATTTGTTTTTCCCAAATGGCCTGAACATGCAAAACATCACCATATAGAACACAAGATTAGTCGTTTCCAATGACCTAATAGACATCAACTGTACGACAATGCCGGACCACACAACACCAAAGTATCCAAAAACAACCGTAGAGAACATTGTCAAATATTTCTTAGCAGCCTTCGCATCTTGATCACTCTCACGAGTCACATCACAAAACGAACAAATCACCTCTGTGGGGAGCATTATAACATAGCAACATGCGGCCTCTATCACCAATACGACACAGTTCCAAGTCATCCAGCCTTTAATAAAACGGCCGCTTTCCCCTGTTACTATAGAAGCCACAGTAGCCAAAATATGAATTGGAATCACTACCATTAAAACCTTGTTGTTAATTCTCTTTTCTTGCACAAACGGCTTTAACAAAAACCAGCCATCACTGATCACCATCATCACAATGTACAAAAGCACAGCCTTGATGAGCTGAAATATGTGAAACATGACATTCCAGCCATGATGAGGATTACCTGTAACCTTCGTATGATAATGAATTTTTGCAGCACAGAACAAGCTAAGCGATTTCATAACAAGCAACACACCCATTAGTAAATGAAACCTGTTGACAGATAGCTTGTTCTTGAAGCATACCAAGATCCAAAACCCTAGAAAAGGGAGATAAACGAGGGAGAAATTAGAGTAAAGAGACGGAAGCTGTGTTAGCTCGGCTGATAGATAGTCTTTGGTGTCGCCATTATCAGTGTTGTAGAACTCTGTCCTGACGTCCATCGTCACGTAGGATAAAGGGTTGCAATTGGCGAAGTAGAGTGAGTAATCACTGGGAAAAGTCACAGAGTGGGATTTGTTGAAGGAAGACTGAGGAGAAGGGGAGAGATCTTGGAAAGTAAAGAGTAGTGAGATATATTTGGAGTCCAGACTGCATGAAATACGTTCGTAATTCTTATAGGGTCTTGCAACATCTGAGATAAGATAGAAACCAATACGTGAAGGATCAGGTCGTGATAAGTTGGAGGTGACCGGCATTGAGGTAACAGAAACGGAGGAGATGGCAATGGAGACATGACCGGTTTGTGTAAATCCGACTTCTCGAAGAAGATTCTGTGTCGGTTATCGGATTGGATCTTCACAGATGTGATCTCCCCGGTGGATGGTGCTGTGAAGAGGAAGAAGAGGAGGAGAACACCAGTAAGGATTCTGGCTAAATTCATCATGCTGGATTCACCGGTAAGGAAGACAATGAATATCAGATAATACAATTGATAGTTTATATAGAATCTAAACTAAACCCTATAACTTCTCCAACTAATATTGAAAAAATCGAAAGGATATACACGAAAAGGTATATATCGACTGATCATCCTAATCATATAGAAATATGTACTTGGTAGATATATCCACCGAAGGTTCGTGAAATTCAATCCTTTTGTTTTTCTACCAAGTAAAACTCTTTGTATATATTTCCACACGCGTTTGTTTTCGAATTTTATGTTTCAACATGCTAATAAATAAATGTAGCAACCGAAAAATATATAGAAAACGGAATTAGGCTAACAGGAAGAATTGCATTCATGAACTATATTTTTATTGAAGAATAGGAAGAGTATTTATACAAGAACATTCTTGATCAACAACTAATAATAAAATATGGAAACTATAACTATCCTAATAATAAACTAGATATATGGAAATCTAATCCTAAACAAACTCCTTTATTCCCTTCAAGTTGGAGCGTGGAGGTCACGAACGCCTATCTTACTTAAAAGAAAACGAAAAGAGGGTGTTCCTAGTTGTTTGGTAAAAATGTCCGCAAGTTGATTTGTAGTAGTAATCGCACATGGTAAAATTTCTTTGGACTCCACACGCTTACCAAAGAAATAACCATCAATCTCGACATGTTTTGTTCTTTCATGAAAAACATGATTCTTAGAAATATGGTGAGTGGCACTTAATGGAAAAGTGGCTTAACAGAGGACTATGCTGGGCTTACATACAGGTACGCATAGCGTACACCACCTTCAGCCAGTATGCTTAGCGTACAAGGGAGTACGACCCACGTACTCATCAGTTATGGGCTTGGAGTGTTTTGGGCCTCGGGTTGGGCCAAGGAGTGGACTTTGGGCCTTTGGGCCTTAGTGGAACATCAGAAGTCAGATGTTTTGGGACAGAAATATGTTTGGGCTTAAGGTTAGGCCCAATTTAGCAAATTAGGCCATTAGTGGGCTTGGAAAGCCCACCTAGTGTTGGGCTTTTTTTGGATTGGACTTCAGTTTGGATCATACTGGGCCAGGGGTAGAATGGTTATTTTACTCCCATGCATGGATTAAGGATTATGGTATGAGACCCAATGGCTAATTGGGTATAGTGTTTAGTAGTGATAGCTCGAGAAGCTGGTGGGGCAACAACTAAGGAATTCATACGGGAAGCTTTTGCAGTGCGAGGTGAGTCTTCTCACCATAGCAATTGGTCTAAGGCATCAAGGCCGACCCATTTTATGTTATGTGGTACACTAACTGTAGTATAGATATATAGTATGATAGTTAGCTTTATGCTAAGTGGCATGCTAGTGATTATATGATATGTGTTATGATAGTTGTCTTTGTGATACTTGCATGGAAGACCCCGACGGGAGCCCGTGACATTGGATGTAAGACCACGTGGGGTAGCCCATATCATTCCTTGGTAAAGACCATGTGGGGTAGCCCATGACATTGGATGTAAGAACATATGGGATAGCCCATGATATTCCTAGGTAAAGATCATGTAGGGTAGCCCTTGACATTGGATGTAAGACCATGTGGGGTAGCCCATGGCATTACTAGGTAAAGACCATGTAGGGTAGCCCATGACATTTGATGTAAGACCATGTGGGGTAGACCATGACATTCCTAGGTAAAGACCATGTAGGGCAGCCCATAACATCCTTACAGGTTTATGTATGCATGGTTTATGTGATACATGTAGTTTTTATAGCTGATATGGTATGTGTTATGTGGATTGTGTGTGTGGTATGCTTTGGGGGACTCACTAAGCTTCGTGCTTACGGTTTACAATTTTGGTTTTAGGTATCTTCGTTTTGGAAATGAAGAGCTCGGATTGATTGTAGTGCACATACCTATGATTCCGCAATGAATGATTTTGTGATGAACTCTGATAAATGTTTTACTTAATGATAATTTGAAATGTTTGGAATAAATGGTATCAATGTTTTAGCTATATTAAAAATGAATTTTTTACCCTTGATTTTTGGGTCATTACAAGTTGGTATCAGAGCCTTGGTTTGAGTGATTCAGACATACTTTCGGGTGTGTTTGAACTCAGACTGAGGATCAGTAATTCTCTCAAAAGAAAAATGATTTAAGTAAAGAATTTCCAAGACAAGAAAGGGTGTGGTGCATGCAATCAGCCGAGCTTGAGTAAGTTTCCCTAGAATACCCACATTTGTTATCTGTTATGATATGATTATGAATCTGTAAATCACATGCTAGTTAGGGCTAGGGGAGATGCCTGTATATGTTATATGAGCTGGTAGACTTGCATACTTGTGTCGAGTAGTCAGTAATAGGTTGGCCTGATATGTGGTGCTTGTAGCCATAAGGATATTGGATGCCATGCCGGAATGAGAATGATATTTGGTATTTGTAACTGCAATGTGTATGCTTTTACAATTGTATACAGTTAGGATCTTATAGGCTTAGAATAATTGATTTGGCCTTATTTCCTATTCTGTGTATAATTTGCATGCATAAGGCAGCTGACAACACGGGTGGATGTGGACAGCATGGTTGTGGTATATGGGCCGAATATTCTATAATAGTTTGTGGGTCGGAGATTACCCTAGGGTAAGCCCAGGATGAGGTTAGTGACATGACTCACCTGATTGTAAATTAGACGTATAGATAGAATTGTTTGATTGGAATATGTTGGCTAGTTATCCGTTGTCCAAATGTTGCTTGCTTTGTGCTTTGTGGGACTTTTATTAATGTGAGTTAGCTGTTAAGTGAATATGCTAAGTCATATGTAGCACAGTACGCAAGTCTCGTATGAGTCTAACCCTTCTAGGGATGAGTCATTTACTTGAATGATTATCTGATCTCTGCTACGTGTAGCTATATTCACGAGGTAGCTAGTTGACATTAATGGGAATCTTGCAACAACTGAGGGCAAGGTGAGGTTAGGAACCTAGGGAAGCCTAGGATATGCTCCAGTGAGTTTAGGGGGGCGATTCAGTGAAGTGGGAACCTAGGAGGCGCTATGGTAGAGATTGTCTTGCTGTTTAGCAAACATTTAGTATATCGGTGGACTAAGTGACTCAGAGGATTTGGGAGGATTGCTGAGGAAAGTATGGATAGGTGTGGAAGGTAGTATTGGGCCCGTACTACTGAAAGCATAGGATCCATACTCGAATCGGTGAGAGTCTTGGAGAATCTGAGAAGCTTAGGGGAAGGAGACTTCTTGGTTATGCCTTGATCGTGGGAATAGATGCTTTGCAGAATAAGGATGAGCACACAGGGGATGGGACCAGGGTTTGGTCCCGACTCCGTTGGTGAACCAGTTAGCAGAAGGACTGCGCGATCAAATTTCGTTCCAAGGGTTTGGATTGTTATTGGGATCGGAATGAGGTGTTACATCATGTTCTCAGGGTGGTCGAGGTATCACAGGAGGATGTGGTCATGATTCCTTCAGATGTTTGCGAATATGCTATATTCGGCCATTTCTGGTGGATATCAGGTATTTGTATCGCTTGGGAAATTGTGATAAGTTGGTTCTCAGGTCGGTATTATACTATTGTCTGGGTTAGCAAGGGTTGTTAGATGCCATCCAGCATGTCAAGGAATCTTTGAGAGATCTTCAGATGGATGTATCTCGCGGAGTGGATTCCGCGTGTACCGTGATTGCTCTGAGTCGTTGTCGGAATCTGTCTAGTGATCTGGGTTGCTACAGGTATAGTAGGTTTTTCCATGTCATCAGGGATTGGCCATAAGGAGTAAGCCCGTTACATTTTCGTTGTGTTTAGGTGGACGATAAGGAGGTCGACTGTCTGACGATCAGGGAAGAACATTGAGTGTACCTGCTCTAGCCATTCTCGGGGTGGGTTCAAGGGCTTGAACGAGGGAGTTATGGCTAGTATTCAGTAGCCTTAGTATTTATGTTTTGGAGGAGCCATCGGGATTGCCGAGGGAAGAGAGAGTGGTCACTGAGGTTTTGGTGAGACTATCCGTTCATTGGAAGCCGAGATCTGAGTGTGATATCGGTTTTAAGTGATTGAGGTCATTGATGTAGTTGGAACGCAAGAAGTGTTAGCTGGTTTTCAGGAAGTGTGTTGTTTGGATAGGGGTATTTTTGGTGTTTTAGCTTTGGTAAGCATCGACCGTCAGCAAGGTGAACATTGGAACATAATGAGGATTGGGAATCCTTCAATTATCATGTGCCGAGCGGACTTAGTTGAATCTAAGTGGGAGAGAACCATCCAGGTATCCAGGGAATAAGCAAGGGTGAAAGTGTTGTAAGACTATAGGGGTGTCGTAGCATTCACTAGTAGTAGAGAATGTTGTAAGACTGCGGGGGTGTCGTAGTGTTAATGAATTTTTTTTCCAGGTGATTTGGTCTAGGGTAGGCTAGTTCGCAAGGTTGTGGGGGAACCAGAACTTAGCTAGGATCAGGACCAGATGTGATTGATCGATCAGTTATTCGGGGTGAGCCGAGATGGTTATGGGAATTTAGGATGGAACCAGTAGAGACAGCTGAGCTAAGGGTTAGAACTTGTGATACATGATATTTTGGTCAAGTAGTACATGTTTCTGTAGGGCTACGACTGGGTAGCCCTGATATTGGATCTCATAAGAACCTGGTGGTTGGACTAAGTGCGAGACTGGGAGTCTCAGGGAATCGGATAAGGTTATTTATTAATCGGTCGAGTAAAGGAAGACAGGAAGTCATGGTGCATTATGCAAATGCCGATTTGAGGATCTCTGGATAGGAGCGGAGTAACAATTCGGATTTGGGTAGGAACCAGAATCAGAATTCGTGCATGATTTTGTTTCAGCGAGATGGGATGTGGGGCATCGATATGATGAGGGCATAGAGGATAGAATTCCAAGGTGGAGAACGGTTGGTTTGATGGTAGTTTAAGCCATTGTGATGCGTCCCGGGTGGCTCTATCCGTAATAGAGACACGACATGTCGGAATCAGGAAACGGTAGGTCAAAGGAGA